TGTAAACGGCCTCGCTCATCTTTAAATTGTCGCGTGTACCCTCGCCTTGTAAATAGCAAGTACGGTTAAAAGTTCAATAGTCAATTGAATCTGAGAGTTAAGTATTGCTCGCTCCCTCCATCCCCTGCAATCCCACACATAAGTTTGGTCCTTCGAGCCGGATTGCCTTCCTCCGGAGCCAGTGACGGGAGTGAGTTGTGCTAGCTCTATTTACGCGACTGTGCAACGCTATGGAGGCGTTAATTGACTCGCAGAACGAATTGTATGGGCGCATCGCCCGCTCCTTCGAGAATTTGAAGAAAACGGGCGCGTCCCGCACTGCTCGAGGGTTGGTGGAGGCCCGTCTACAAAGTCTCGAGGCCAACTGGATAAAATTCGAAGCCCAGCATGCCACGCTGATGACCGACTTCAAAAAGGAACTCGCCACGCACGCTTACCAAAAGGGGTGCTTGCGTGACGTGGCGGAGGAAGCCTTCCTCACTCAGAAGGGTATGTTCATCGACGCCCTATACGATCTCCAAGAGCTCAGTTAGCGGCGGTACCAACTGCGACTCCGTCGCGTCCGCCGCGAACGACGCTGCCGAGGATCCAGCTGCCTCAATTTTCGGGACGCTACGAGGACTGGCCGCCCTTTCGCGACCTTTTCAACTCCCTCATTGGGAAGGATGCGGCCACTAGTCCCGTTGAGAAGCTGCATTACCTCAAGGCCAGCGTGAAGGGAGATGCGGACCTGCTGATACGGAATCTCCCGACGACGTCTGAGAATTATGGCCGAGCTTGGCAGGCGCTGACGGACTTCTACGAGAACAAGAGACTCTTGGTGCGTTCCTACCTCCACCAGTTCATGGCACTGACCAAGTTGAAGAGTGAGTTTGCTTCGGAACTACGTAAGTTATACCACTGCGTTTTGAATACCGTCAGCTCGCTCGAAGGCATCGAGAGACCGATTACTAGCGGAGAAGATCTTTTCGTGCATCTCGTCGTCGAGCTTCTTGACGCCCGATCGCGCCGCGAATGGGAGGCTTCTATTAGCGATACAACGGAACCCCCTTCGTACGATGATCTACAGATCTTTTTAGAGTGACGGTTGCATACTTTAGAGTCGCTTCAACCGGTCAGACCCGAGTCCGCGAAAGCTGAGGTGACGTCGTCTAAACCAACGCGAGCCCTTCACGCGCGTAAACAGGACAATAAGGGCGGACGTTGCTCCTTGTGCGGTAAGGAGCATTATATTCTCTGGTGCGACGTTTGCCAAAAAAAAGACTGCCGACGAGAGAAAGCGTCACGTGGAAGCTAACCACTTGTGCCCCAACTGTCTCGGAAGACATAAATTGAGCGATTGCCGCTCCAAAAGGGCCTGCTCGATGTGTAGTGCACAGCACCACACGAGCCTCCACGAGGCTTTCCAGACAAGTGTAGCCTCAACAACTTTGCATTTGGCGCAGCATCCACCGGCTCTTCCGGTTGCTGTACTCCTTGCGACCGCTCGCGTTCGTGTTCTCGACCGGTGCGGGGCCGTGCATACGGCGCGTGCGCTCGTGGACCAGGATTCTGAGTCATCGTTAGTGTCCGAGTCTCTGGCTCAGCGCCTTCGATTACCGCGGTCCTCTACGTCGATCGCGATATTCGGTGTCGGGGGGAAGCAAACGGGCACCGCGCGCGGCCTCATCTCCATGCAAATCTCTCCGCTGACGGGAGGGGCTCCGATGACCGTGCCGGCCTTGGTGTTTCCCCAGCTCACGCTCTACGACAGTGGGATCAAAGCGGATCCTAAATCTTGGACGCATCTTGCGGGCCTGGAGTTGGCGGACCCTGATTATCTGGCCGCGGATCCTATTGACATTCTGCTCGGCGCAGATGTCTACGCGTATATCCTCCAGCCGGGCCTACAAAAGTGCGGATCCAACGAGCCGGTCGCCCAGCTGACGTCGCTCGGCTGGATCCTTTCGGGAGCTGTTAGCTCCGCTAATTTCTCTCGCCGCGCGCTAACTCTCCACTACCGAGTCGAGGAGAACTTGGCTTCACTGGTCGAAAAATTCTGGCAGCAGGATGAGCTTTCCGACCGCTCGTCACCTCTTACCCCTGCCGACCAGGAATGCGAGGATCAGTTCCGCCAGACTCATCGTCGCGCTGCTGACGGGCGTTATGTCGTGCGTCTTCCCGTCAAACCCCCGTTACCTGATCTCTAGCGTACGCGACACACGGCGCGGCGCGTGCTTACGAACGTGGAGAGGCGGTTCTCTCAGGACGCGCGGCTGCGGCAACTGTACGTCGACTTGCTCCGCCAGTACGAGGACATGGGCCATATGACTCCGTTGAATGACTCGAGGGATGTCGGGGGACCAGTGAGCTACCTTCCGCACCACGGCGTGTTGCGGGAGTCCAGCACGACGACCAAGCTGCGCGTCGTGTTTAACGGTTCGACCGCTACTTCTTCGGGCGACTCGCTGAATCGTCACCTTCTGGTGGGTCCGAACCTACTACCTCCTCTAGCCGATGTACTTCTCCGTTGGCGAGTGCATCGCTTCGTGCTCGCTACAGATATAGAAAAGATGTACCGGCAGATCATGGTACATCCTGAAGATCGGGATCTGCAGCGAATTGTCTGGCGGTACAATCCGCAAGATGAGCTCCGGGAGTACCGTCTGAACACGGTTACATACGGCCTGGCGTGTGCACCGTTCTTGGCTATGCGCGTCTTACGGCAGCTCGCCGACGACGAAGAAACGCGCTACCCTCTCGGTGCCGCCGTGATTCGGAGGGACGTTTACATGGACGATGTCCTTACGGGAGCCGACTCGCTCACGGACGCCCGCGAGCTCCTTCATCAACTAGTCAATCTCTGCGTGGCGGGCGGCTTTCCATTACGTAAGTGGTCAGCCAACGATATGAGGTTGATGGACGACGTTCCTGCAGAGCATCGGATGAATGGCGAACTCCGAGACTGGCGGCCTCACGAAGCGCACTCTACGCTTGGCTTGCGGTGGCATCCTAGTCAAGATCACTTCTCCTTTTCGACCAAGAGCATTTCTATTGCAGTCGTGACCGAACGTTCCGTGCTATCTCTCACGGCACGCTGTTTGATCCCCTCGGTTGGTTGGCGCCCGTAGTGGTGAGCGCTAAGATCGCCTTCCAGGCTACGTGGCGTCGAGGACTGGGCTGGGACGAGCCATTGGATGAGGCCTCCACCCGGAGTTGGCTCAAATATCAGGCGGCGCTTCCTCTTCTCGAGGAGATCCAGATCCCTCGGTGGATTGGTCCGGTCTCTACTGGGCACATCGAGATCCACGGATTCTGCGACGCCTCGGAATTGGCCTACGCTGCCGTGACTTACCTGAGGACGGAGCATTCTGGGTCTTGGCGTACCCGCTTGATCGCGGCTAAAATGATGGTCGCGCCAATCAAGCAGATAAGTCTGCCACGCTTGGAGCTCTGCGCAGCCACGCTCTTAGCCCGGCTCGTGTCTTATGTCCGTTCTACGCTGGATCTGGTCGGGGCCCCCGTTCATCTCTGGTCGGACTCGACCGTGGCTCTAGGCTGGATTCAGGACCACCCGTCGCGATGGCACACTTTCGTGGCGAACCGCGTGGCCGAAATCCAGACCACGGTCGCGAGCGCCTGGTGGCATCACGTTCCGGGACGCGAAAATCCGGCTGATTGTGCCTCCCGGGGTCTCTCTACTGGAGACCTTATAAACTTTCAATTGCGGTGGCGTGGTCCGCCTTGGTTGGAGTACAATGTTTCAGAGTGGCCGACTGCCGCTGGGTCCAACCCGCGGGTCGACCTGCCCGAGGAGAGGATCCGCGTTCACGCCACGGAGGTCGTCGCTGCTGCGCCGGAAGAGGCTGAGGAGCTGCTGAGATTCTCATCCCTCCACCGACTGCTTCGCGTTACCGCCTGGTGCCGTCGTTGGGTGTTGCGCAGAGGATCTGGGGTCGGTCCCGTGCATCCGGCGTTGCCGCTGCCTCTCGAGGGGACCTTGTCGGTTGGCGAACTGGAAGCGGCCCGTTTGGTCTGGGTCCGGGCAGTGCAGATGTTTCATTACCCCGCTGAGATGAGAGCGGTCGAGTTGAGTCGGGCGCTGTCCAAGTCAAGTAAGCTTATCCGACTGAGTCCGTTCCTTGACGCCCAGGGCATACTCCATGTCGGCGGGCGGCTGGGGCACGCGGTGCTGTCATACGACGAGTGACATCCGGTCATTTTGCCCGACGACTCTCACTTCACTCACTTAATCGTGGCCGCGTGTCATCGGCGAGCTCTCCACGGCGGAGTGCAGTTGACGCTGAGTCTCGTCCGCCAACAATATTGGATTCCGCGCGGTCGCTCGGTCGTGAAGAGGGTTATCCGGCGGTGCGTAACCTGCGTAAGGTGGCGAGCAGCCAGCCCTCAGCAGCTAATGGCTGATCTTCCGCGGGAAAGAGTTGCGCGAGCGCGAGCGTTCCTTCAGACCGGCGTCGATTACGCCGGGCCTATCCAGCTGCGAGCCAGCAAGGGTCGAGGCCAGCGAGCCTTTAAAGCTTTCGTGGCAGTCTTTATCTGTCTCTCCACGCGAGCCGTTCATTTGGAAGTCGTTTCCGACTACTCCGCGGACGCGTTCCTCGCGGCTTTACGACGCTTCATCTCCCGCCGCGGTATTTGTTGCACCCTTTTTAGCGACTGCGGTACGAATTTTGTCGGAGCGGACGCGCAGCTCCGGGCAATGTTCTCCGCCCGCAGCCCGGTATTGCAGCAGATCAAGGCGCGGACCGCTACCGAAGGTATATCGTGGCGTTTCAACCCGCCGTCGGCGCCTCACTTCGGCGGCATTTGGGAAGCGGCCGTTAGGTCCCTCAAACATCACCTGAGACGAGTACTGGGCAACCACAAGCTCACCTTCGAGGAAATGAGCACCCTACTCGCTCAGGTAGAGGCGTGTCTAAACTCTCGACCGCTCCAGGCTTTATCGGACGACCCTGAAGATCTGACTGCCCTAACGCCGGGTCATTTTCTGGTGGGTTCAGCCCTGACGGCCATCCCAGAGCCTTCGCTTCGGGATCTGCCGATGAACCGCCTTACACGCTGGCAGCTCTTACAGCAGATGCGCGACCATTTCTGGAAACGATGGGCGAAGGAGTACCTGCACTCTCTGCTAA